ATATATAGTCAAGGTTATATATATATATAAATAAAAGAAGGTCTTACATGGCTATGGGAAGGAACTGCATATGAAAATATTTTTTCAAGAAGAAAGAATCCGTAAATCCCAGCAATCAGGCACAGAATCTTCCACAGATGCTCCTTGTCTTCAACATAGATTTCATCATCATGACTGTGAGTTGCATCATGAAGACCAAGGATCTGCTCAGGACATGAAAACAGAACACATTTACATCCACACGTCACTTCAAAATGCACGTTTGTTTAGTTTTAGTGCAGTTTTGTACCTGTGGTATGAGGTGCAGGAGAGCATCTCCTGACAGTGTTCCCACAGCCAGGCCCACAAACAGCTGCAGGATGAGTGTGTAGGTCTCCTGAYAGGAGTTAAAAAACACCAGACAAATACCCAGCATGGAGCTCACTGTGATGACCAGGACAGCAGCTGTGCTGTAGCYGAACTCTGCAGGAAGAAGGAATCTTTATACTTTCTGTTAAAAGTAACCGGTAACAAATCCCCGCTAGCGTAAACCAAAACATATATTTTAAGGACAGGGATGTTACTTGTCAGATCTTTAGATTCAGTACTACATTGTAACAAATGACCCATTTCTCCCCTATACATTAAAAACTGTGTCAAGAATTTAACTTTTCGCTCTACGTTTTCATTGATGAACAATTCGATGATTGTCTTACTCTCCATAGCAGTTGGTAAAGACCCTCCTGTTTTTTGTTCTAATGATCCACAGGCATTGCATAGCAGCTGTTGAATAATGGCAGGGCAGATTTGCCTGAAGTGCTTCTTGGAAATGGGCAAATGAGGGTCCAGAGCAAAAATATCCACCAGCTGATTGGCTGAAAAACATACCTGATTGGGTTCAAAGGGGAAAATGTGCCCACATGTGAAGATGAGCAACATGTCAATAAATTAACTCAAATTACCTGCATGCAGTTTGAAACCTGTAAATGTGCATCTCAGCCTCACCTGTTCCCATCCTCTCTCAGTTTTATGGTTGCAGTTTTCCAGTGACTTCACAGACTGTGTGCTTCCTCTAATGCTCCTCGTCTTCCTGTTCTGCATTCCTCCTTCATGTCCTACTCCTAACTGACGAAGCAGCTTCTCCAAATCTCAACAGAAAAAGAAGTCAAAAGTAGYGTCAGTTTTTAGGGGAAAAACGTACAGAAGTTTTTTTTAACTTACCAATAATTTCAAGGTTGTTTGTAGAATTTAGAGACTGAAAAATATATTCTGTAAAAAAGGCAGGAGATGGGAGGTTCCTCTGTGAAAAACAGGATCCCAGCAGGATATAGTTGATTATGGTTGCTGCCAATCTGGGCACCGTAGTTATCCCAACACCTGGATTTCCCTCTACATCAACTTCTTCTAAAAGGTGAGCTGAGTCAATACACTGTGGAAGCAAAGAACGAAATGTTCATTAATGCATCTGCACCTGTTTGGATAGGATGCATCTGTCTGAAAACACTTCCTTACTGGCAAATCAAAAACGGCCTGGTTTGAGGGGCGGTAGTGCTGGTTAATGAGTCGCAGAATACTTTGTGTCTCGTTGTATGACAGGAAGCGATTGTCCTCAGCTGGATGCAGATTGGTTAGACCCAGAAGGTAGAACTTGAAGTTCTCAGATGGGGAGGAAASGGGTAAAAGGGAGGTGATGTTTGCAACACACAGATCTTCCAAATTAATTATGTAGTACAACAGAACGGTTGAGATTTGCTGATAGTCTTGCTCGTTGAGAAAAATCCGATCATCATCCTCAAGCACAGAGAGGACAATGTCTTGTGTCAGGCACTGTAGACAGAAGAAAACAGAAATTATACAATACAGATTTTATTAAAATAAAGCTGTAAATTAAATTTAATCAGGATGTACTGAAAATAGGTCACCTTGACAAAAAAAAAAAAAACAGCTTATTTTGAGCCTGCAGTCATTGGCATGTGCTTCTTGGGATTGAGGGGGAAAAGGCTTCTGTTGTGTTGTGAGTTTAATAACCAAGTCCAGTTAGACCTACTAACATTTTAAAAGCTTAGAGGGTAGGGAAAACTATGTAAGAAKTTGCTCTAATAATTTATCAATCTTAATTTCAAGGCTTGACACACACAATCCTATTTACAGCCAACCTAATCAAGCAGGCAGTTTCGATAAATCCAGTCAATGTTTAGTTTGCCAAACCAAGTCATGTCTAATACCAGTCAGCATGAATAGAGATCAAGTGCTTAAGTCTGCACATTCAGCCMTTTAGAAGTAGTTTACCGGAATATAAGATTAAAACCATGCTGTTTCTCCAATTTTTTTTCACTGGTTGATCCATGATTAGATTATGAATGGTATAGGCCTTACTTTCTCACACATGCTCTGCRTCATGCCAGTCCTCTCTCCACAATGCACATCTCGGAGCAGTTTGGCAATCAGGTCACTGGTTCGGTTCTTCTGGAGCCGAGGCTTGTCATCACTCCCTAAAGGTAGATCCAATGTTCTGAGAGCCTCCTGGAGGTAGTCCTGGTCCTGCGCTTTGCTTTCTAGCACTCGCCCCAGCACAAAAAGATGCAGCAGCACCAAACATGGAGCAGTGCTCCTAAAGTGCATGTTCTTATCAGCGCTGTCAGACTCTCTCAATCTCCCAGGACCGGCTAGGGAACTGAAACACAGAAGTGACGGTCAGAAAACATCAACAAACAAAATCAAAAAGTTAKCAAACATRAGATAAAGAAARTTTCTAAAAAACGAAGGGCAGGTATATTGCTGAAGGAGGCAGTGATATTAGTATGCCAGATCTGGTGGAGAACAAGAGGACTCAGCAGGCAACCCTCCACAGAACCAGAGCTTACAGTTCCTAATAGTCAGTCGAAGCCTGGGCCCCTCAGTGCACAACAAAAGGATTAGTGCAGGCAAGTGAGAGAGTACAGAGCAAAAATTTGGGGGCATGAAGGTGGGTGGGGGACTGCAGAGACAATTAGTATTGAAAGAAACGAGATTGGGAGATGCTCTTATTTATGCACAGTAAAGTGAACGCTGCCCTTCTGAAGTTATAGGCAAACTTTTTATGGAAGTGCTTGTATTCTCTTTCGTTGAAAAATTATTTTTTAAATTGCTGTAGTCTGATCCTGTGATTAGACTTGCGACATGTTTAGGTTGCAACTTTCCTCTCACACAGTGACAGCTGGAGATGGGCACCAGCTCCCTGCGACCTGGAAAGGAGAAGCGGGTAAAGAAATTAGATGAGTAGCTGTAGGTTTCGTATTGTTTCTTTGGCCTGTTGTAATATTTAGTAAATGTGTGCATCTGTTCAACCCTGTTCTTCTTGCCCATTGTGTCCTGGACCCTCTCCTATTGTTATTTCATGTTTTGCGCTTTTAAAATATATTTTGGTAATATTTAGATTTTTGTACCTATTGTTTTGCTGTACCTTGTGCTCAGTACGTTTATTGAAATTTTTGCTCCATCCAACCTCTTACCATTATTTTGTGTATATACGACAATAATTTCTTGTTTTTTAAACCATTAGCAGTAATAAAATTGTGCTAAATTTGCRTCAATCAGCTTCAAATAAGAGCTTGTTTGAGAGAATAAATGTGACATGGCTCCATTCTCAAGGCCTTTTATTTTTTCACGTTCTGACTCATCAAGGATCAAACAGACTGAGCTTACCTCATGGGATACCTCGCAGGTTGAATCAGCCCAGCAGCAACAAAAAAAATTATTAAAATATTATTCTGGAGTATCACCAGGTTTAAAATAGCTGAGAAAGCTTACCAGATCTCTCTCTGTTGGAACTAAGTTTGTTTTCTTCTGTAGCTGAAGGTTCACTTGATAGGAGGAACTGAACTTTTTGATAAGAATTCCAGAACATTGGTGCTGGTAATAAAACCCCTCTTGTGAGGAAAAACAACAAAGAGTTGTGTAAGCTCCTAAGGATTAGCTGCAACAGCCTTGAAGCACCGTGATTACTGTATCAGTGATTGGCATAGTAACCTTTTGTTAAAATGCAGAAGTTTGGCAACAGTCTTTAATTTGTTGACAGTTTGTGTAGAGGCTGAAAAAGGCWAAATGTGTTTATTGTGTATAAGTACAGGACAAGCAGTCATTTATTTTCCTTTTATTTTATTCAGCAGCTTGGCTTGGAAGTAAAAAAAAAAAGGGGGGGGGGGGGTTGAGGAAAATAGGTTAGGAACCACTAGATTAGACAAAGTCTCCATAGAACATAAACATGGAAAATAATGCTTAAAATCATAAACAACCAACAGAACTCTGCTTAATTTATTTTTATTTATTTAGTATCTATATACAATATGAGAAAGAGGCTCATAAACAGTTCATTGAAAAGGTAGATCCGTAAGCTTGCATTGAAAAACCTTTTCACATTTCTTTATTTCGATCATCACGAGCAAATATTTTTGGTCAAACTGATTAGAAAACAAAAAAAAAAAGGATTTCTACAGATTTCACAAATCACATTATCACATTTTTTGTGCATATTTTACTAAGTGCGATGTCAAATTATGCTTCTGAAAAATGATGAAACTACTGGAGAATTTCTCTGAGATCAGTTGTTTTTAAGTGCTGATTACCTCACATCACACATCTTWCTATGCTTGCTCATTCTGCTCTATATTTTCCACCAGGCCTGTAGTGTCCACAGGTGCTCGGGTGGGATTGAAGTATAATTTATTGTCAAAGGTGCAGTCTCCAAGAACAGAAGTGGGTATTTTTATTCGCTTGCGGAAAAGCAGAAAGGCACCAAGTCCARCAATGGCAATTATGATCAGCACCACAGATACAGTGATGCCAGCAGATCCATGCGAAGCTTTTTGAATGACAGGAGCTAAAAGGAGAAACATAGAGAAGTTTAAACAGTTAAGGATATTTAGCATAAAATGTAATGCACTTGAATTATAAATAATTTTTGTTGACTTACCTGCAGATGGAATCTTTTCTGTGGGTTGTATAACTTTAAAAAAGCAAACACTCAGTGTGAGTACATGACTGCTGAAATAGAAATACAATAAAAAAATTACTTACTTTTAGGTGTTTTGCAAATGTAGGATCTATATCTGCTGCAGCTATTTGTACTCCATTGCCCGCTGTCAGAATGGATGTTTACACATGAATCTAACTTTGGTATTCCTGCTTTCCAGTTGATATAATCCACGACACTGTTATCAATCCACATCCACTGATCTGCAAAATCAGACACATTAACTTAGTGAACCCGCTAGAAGATATCTTTTAAACCTTTGCTCATAAAAAAGTAAATGTTTTAAGAAAATCTTTATTCTTCAATAGATATATTGGATTTCAACTGGTTTCACTCAGTTGAATAAAGGTAACTGTAAAATAAATGTGTGTTTTTAATTAAATCCACTACATCTGTTTTTTTGTGTACGGTGATAGGGATGCTCAGGGTTTTGTTTAGATCGTCAGACTGATGTTTCTGCTTTCCTATTTCCAGGAATTTTTGGTCATTTGTGGAAATCTGTTTCCGAATGCATGCACAGTAATAAAAACATAACAGAAGTATAATCTGACTTGTCCACCTTTTATTAAATGCCTGATTCAGACTTCCTCATTAGGATAGATTTTAAAGTAATTTACATTCTTTCCAGAATCGTATTAAAAATGTTCTTGTGTATGTTTGTGATGCTGTCTCTTGGATTGTTAATACCTGTAAACTTCATAATATATTTTTAAAAATAAATTTGACAAAATGCCTATTTCAGAATGATATAAATGACCAGCCAGCTGTTCTCAGGTCTGTCATTATTTCAGATTACTGTATGTAGTTAGACTTTTAATATGAATTAAACGTCATTGTTCCTACCGTCATGAGACTTGTAAAGACCAATCCAGAAAGTTTTTGCACCATCCTGCAGAAGTTCAATATTCTGTTGTATAAACCTCTCTTCAACAGGGTCTTGAATGCTCACTAAAGATGCACCTGACAATCCCAGTGACATAAAGTTTTAGTTTGTGCATAAAGACATAAAAATGCAACAAAAATGAGAACAATTCTTCCATCACTTACCCATTTTCAGACACTCAACTGAGGCGTGGGCCCAGTTGTCTGACATTGAGCTTAAGAAAGAATAACAATGGCCTCTGAAAGGTATCCATGGTCTTTGTTTCTTTGACTCTGGACAGTTGCCAGGTAGCTGGGGTGGCTCAGTAGGAGCTACCTCTGGGATGAAAGAAAAAGTAACAGATTACACTTTAGTGTTAAAAAACTGGTAGTCAACTGTGAGTGCTTCTTAAAGAAAAGTGCAAGAAACCAAACCTAACCTGAAGACCTTTTGCAAATGGAATAGAAGGTATTGGTGCATGGTGCTGTCTTCCATGTGTTGTCCACATCTATATACACACAGCCATAGTTGCTTTTAGGCTCATTGTTGCCCCATTTGGTGTAGGAAAGAAACCAGTTGTCAACCCACTTGTAGCGACCCCCCGTCTAAAAAAAAGAAAATGTTTTAACGAACATAAAATAAATTCTGTTCTGCTTGAAAGTGCATTATTCAAAAACAGGTGGACCATTACCACATTGCTGTTGAGGCCAATCCAAATAGGCTCTTTGTGCTTGAAAATCTGCATGGTGATGTATGCCTGGATTACAGGGTTTAGGATACTGGCCAGATCTGCATCATCTGCCTGACACTGTCTCCGAGCCTCATCCCACCTCATCTTCTGGGTCACCAATTTGTAGGAGTCATTGCCAATCTTGTAAAAGGTCTTTGGTGAGACYGTAGTGGGCGGAACGACAATCTGGGGGTCTGAATAAAAAAGACACACGTTATTGCTTGACAAGGTTGTTTAGTTTTTCCTGGCCAATAACAGATGGTTTTACTGATGACTCTTTGGTTAAGGTGCTATTTATCCTTCCATTGCCCTCCCAGCACCAGTCCACCCTCACACAAGTGCTTGTTATTTTTTGTTTAGATGTTACTGATAGTTTAAGTTTAACTTTTCTGTATAAAAACTCTTTTTCAGCTGATTTTCTTAAGGTTCAGTCACAAACATTGACATATAAAGACTTTTTTTACTTTAAAGACATTTATTTCTGTATTTTTTTTTCACCAATGCTYTTTTGTCTTTTACTTTTTCTCTAATACACTTTCCATTTTTAAAGTTCCTAATTTACAATCTTTCTGTTTTGTTTGCACTAGCATCCTGATTTTCATCGCAAAGGCCTGGAAACAGCCAGCTGTTTGTACACATTCCATACTGAGTTACCTTCTGCAACAGGTCTTTAAAGTTTGTAAGTGCTCTCTTTTTGCAAATTTATTTGTTTAATGGTGACTTTTTTATACAGATTATAATTTATTTCCGTAAGTCATTTGTTTTGGTTTTGGATTCTAAATTTTTATTTTCAGGCTAATATGAAAAAGGGCTGTTTGGTTACTTGCATTGCTTTAGTTGTAACTGGTCATTCATGAAATTATGGAAAATCCCAGAATGCTAAACTCTTGAATGAAATGGTTTTGTCCCTTATTTTTTCTTTTCTTTTAAAGTGACTGCCTAAATGGTGATTGGTAATGTTTTGCCTTGGCTTGCACTTGATGTTTCTTTGACCTTGATTACACTTTGGCAGCACAACTGCTCAGTGGTTAGCACCGACGCCTCACAGCAAGAAGGTCCTGGGTTTGATCCCCGGTTCGGACCTGTGCGGAGTTTGCACGTTCTCCTYGTTCTTGCGTGGGTTTTTCTCTGGGTTCTCTGGTTTCCCCAAAYCCCAAAAACATGTACCTTCAGGCCCAGGCCTCTCTTGAAAAGAGATCTGAGATCTCAACGGGACTTGCCTGGTTAAATAACAGTAAATAAATAAAAAATAAAAAYAATTATGTTACTCACCAACATTTTTCTTACAGATGAAGCCACGTTTAACACCACAGTCCTCCACCTTCCACTGTCCTGTCATCTTTCTGGCACTGCCTACCATGATCACACAATCAAACATCTGTCAGGAAGAACAAGGTATATTAGTTTTCAGTTTCATCAGTGGGTTTTAATTCAGCATTTACAGATAAGTTGCTTCAGTAAGTTAGTTGTTTTAAGCTTGTTTGAGGCATAAATGTGTAAAAAAGAATACAGTAAAGGAAACCTCATTAAAATAACGCCCATCAGGCGTTGTTGAAGGGTGTCCTTTAGCCCAGTTGGTGTATGGAATGCCTTTGCCATCTGTCCACACAAAATGCATCTCCCAGTTGACATCATTCATTCCAATCCACAGATCATCACTGTGGTGTAACATCTGTGTTGTTAGGAAGGCTAGAAAAGAAGAAACATGACTTCTGAACTTGTGAAATTTAAACCGTGTGCAGACAAACAGAGATCATAATAATGCACAACATTTATTATTAGTAATATGGAGTACCACTGCTAGCATGACTGACCTTGCTCCTTCTCATTGACTATGGACACTAGATTGCCTCCCTCTTGTTGGCAGTATGTTCTGGCATCMTCCCAGCTTTTGTTGCTTGTAAACAATTTGTAGCACTGTATTGGCAAGACAAATTTGCTGTATCAGTTTCCAGTGTCTTCAGAAATGCAGTCAGAAAATCTTAGCAACCTTTGCTAAATAAGTATTAGAGTTGGGACTGATGTGATACTACATCAGGCTAGTCTTCTTTTATTATAATGTCATTAGATTATATCTGGCTGAAGTCACTGATTTAGGTTCTTTGGTGGTTTTTTTGGTTATAATGCTGACTTTATTKTAGGAGTTTACTGCCAAAATTAATTGTATTGGTTAAGGTCCAGTAGTGTAATATTTTTACACATATGTATGTATTTGTTTTACTTTAATATAAATTTTTTAATTTTTGAAAATGAGTTAATTTTGTCATGTGAACCTACTGCAAGACACAGCCTGCATGCTACTGATTGAACAGTCTGCTAGCTCAGCATGTTCTCCTCTTAGACCTTTTTGTATAATGCAAACATTCAGAAGTAAAAGTTGTGTTGCAATAACAACCTGAAGAAAGCAGATGTTTAAATGTTTGATTTAAATCCACAAAAGTAAATCAGTACGTTTCCAGTAATTATACGTAAAGGTTTGGGTGCATGAAGATTTATTCTAAATATGCACATTAGTGTTGGTCTTTAATTACCTTTCCTTGGAAGGYAAGCCACTCAGGCGCACATCCTCCTTTAGGAATTGGAGTTGGTGCCATTGTTGTATTGACAAAACTGCTGCTTCTTTTGCAAATGGAGGGAAGCTCAAGACCACAATTAATGTCATTCCAGTACCCTAAATAATATAAAGAATTTATAGAGAGAAGTGGCAAGGGGAAACTTAGTTGCATACCATACCAACATATCATAAAATATTTCCAAAGACTTACCCATGCTCTTGTAGATTGTCACACAGTTTTCATCATTGTTTGCAAAATTGGGTTCATTATTTTCCCATGCAGTGTAAGTTACAGGTGTCCCATCCAACCAGCTAAAAAAAAGTGAGGTGAATGTATCTAAAATGTTAGCATTCACAAAGTATATAACCAGCATTCTGAGTGTTTTGCATTAATTTACCTGAAAGATTTGTCCAAATTTACTATCATGCCAATGTAGTACTGGGATTCAGATTTTTTTGCAATCTGTTTCAACATGAAGAGATGAGAGGTTTTATCAAAAGATAATGTTTACTGTTTGTAGCAGCAGACTTTGGTATCTAAAGAAATATGCAACATTGTGGTCATTTTGACCTCCCGTGTTTGGTTATAAAACTGATTTCTCACTTGCTTCCAGAGGAATTTCCTCTCACTCTCCCCTGTGATGACAACAAGTTCACCAAAGTTTTTCTTGCAGTAGGCTCTGGCAGCTTCCATYGCCAAGTTGTCATTGTTGATGTAGTAATGACTGTCATTGTATATGAGCCATCCATCTTCTGTGGTGTTGAACTCTGTGAGGAGAACAAACAGATGTCAGGAGTTCGCAGCCAGCTGTCTAGTTCTGTATGTGTGCTCATAGCAGCATTTTGAGTCAAATCAGCATGCTAACAAGCTGTTTACTATTTCTATTTAACATACAGTTTGCTCAACACTGACAAGTATTTAGGATCTGGAGTGCAAAACACACTATGCTTAAAAAAATAGAAAAAAAGGTGACACTTTTGTTGCACCAAGGAAGTTTGTTGCTTATTATGACCCCTGCACRCGAAGCATAAGCGGGAGTCATATTGTTTTCCTACTGTTTATTTTTAATTTTATTTATTTACTTATTTATTTATTTGTTCAGTGATCTTTGGTCAACCGTAGCCCAAAAACGGCTGCACCGATCAACATGAAATTTGGAAGGACTGTAGATGAGTCTGACYTACACTGCGCCAGCCAACGGTTTTACGATAGACCCCATATTTGAGGATGGGKCTCCTTTCAAAGAGGGGGTGTCTATATAACTCAGAAACTGTTCAACATGGAATCTTCAGATTTCTTTTGTTGTTTAGCTCTGATAAAGCTCTATCTATCAGGCCCACCAATCAGTGCCCCCCCCCCCCCGGACCCACAATTTATCTGAAAAAGGGGTGTCAGCACATGCAAAAATGGTTATAGCTCAAAAACTATAAAACATAGGAGCTTCAGATTTCTTTTGTTGTTTAGCTCTGATGAGGGGCTATCCATCAGGTCAACCCCCCACCTAAAAAAAGACCCCCACCCAAACCACTACAACTTTGGGATGCATCTATAGCATGACATTTATTGCATTTGTGCGTGTGGGGTTCATTAAGTTACCGCYATGCGGTATCTAGTTTGCTTTTTGTGGAATATTGAGGCTTTTTTAAACCTGCTTTGTGAAATGTGGCCCAGACTTGGGAACCAGTGTGCTTAAGACAGTCCTCTGCTTAAATAAAAAAGAAATGCCATTTCTACAAAAAATAGCACTTAGTGGCAGCAGGTATAAAGGAAATAAAAAAGAAAAGAAAGAGGTCCAARAATGGAACTGTGTAGTACTGCAAAGAGAGCCACAGAGGTGGAAACTCAATTCTTGATGTTGACACAGAAATGATTTTCAGAGAGGTGGACCTGAACCATTGGATGGTGTGATGTCCACCCTCTGCTGAAGCCCTGAAATGAGGATCGCATGATCKTTTGTCTCAGCTGTTAGGTCCAAAGGACAATGAAGGACAATGATAATACTGTTGAATACTGCATTGAGGATATCAGAAATGATAAACTCACATTTTCCTCAATCTTTTTTTGTAAAATAGGATTATTGTTTTTGACAGAATGTTTAATTAAGTAAAAAAAGGTCTGCTAAAACATACCTTCAACAATCAAGGCAGGCTCTGGTTTGGGAGTCACACCTGTAAACATAAAAATCATCATCCTGAAATTTGGTATGCTTGTTTGTCTTTGTGTCTGTGGTGTATAATGATGTGATTGTGATGCTGTATTTCTGTGTTTTATGTGCTGCAGAACAGGAACCTGCTGTAAAACAGCAATTATTCTGAGTCAGGCTTGATTTTTAGTAATCTTTTCCTGTTAAATCAAGAAATCAAATCAAAATCAAATCAATCCATAAACCAAATCTAAGCCGAAGGTAAAAGCCTATCCTCAACTCTCAGTGTGAACTATTACCTTTGCGAATCTGGCAGATCCAGTCRTTATAAGTGTCACAATTCCGATCATTCCAATGCCGTCCATAGTAAAACTGGATTTCTGCACAGTGTTCRTTGTCATTGTGGTTGTTCGGTTCTCCAAAGCCCCAATTCTCAAAGCCAAACTACAGGTCAGAGTTTTGGAAAAGACCATAATTAGGTCAGAGTTTATAATGGTAAGAAACCAATGACCTTGTGAGTGCACTGAGATGCTACATACAGGTGAGTCGTCACTCCAAACATAACCTTGGTTGGTACCCTTAAGTCTGAGGCCTATCCAAGCTTCAGAGCCGTAAACCCTTACAAAGAGCAGAAACCAAAAGATTATGAATGATCTCTTGAAATGTCTGGTATGAGCTCTGACATGCAGAATATTACTACGAGTTAACGTACTGCAAATTTGCAAGGTCCTGCATACTGTGTATGCTCATCAGGTCTCCACCCATGGCCTTGCAGAAGTCCTGCGCTTCCTGCCAATTCTTTTTGTGTTCTTTCATTTTCTTGTAAATCTTCAAGTGAAAGAMATATAAAGTTTAAAGTTAAAAACGGTGATCATTTCACAAGCGACTTTACTTTGTTCTCATACTTTGTAGCAAACATTTCTTTTGGCAACGGGTGTCCACCCAGATGCACAGCTCAGAGCTGGGGTGGTTGGTGGAACCGTGGACATTAGGGCACCCTCTGCCAGCTTCTTGCAGATATACTTCTCCTTGTTGCTGCAGCTGATCACATCCCACAGGCCAGCAAAAATCCCAGTTGTCATGGCAACACATCCCTGTTTTCTGGCTTTTATTGAACACAAACAGGATAAAGAGGATGAATAATCCAACAAATTWAGGAAACTGTTGTATAAGAAATGTTACATTTTATGTAATTAAGAGACAATTTTAAAACTCCCAAAATATATAATTTAAACATAAATGGCACATAAACTTAATATAAATTTGCATCAGTAATCATAATGCATTTAATTAATGAGCTCCTTTTAAGTCTCAATGACACCTTACAGTCAAAAACAGACATATTCTACAATTTGCAAATCAATTTAGGAGTAAGGACATCTTCTCTACCTGGCATGCCCACATTGAAATGAGTGAAGGAGACCTTTCTTTGTGTTGTCCATTTGAAAGTATGTATGTCTTCCAYGTTGGAAAAACCTGTCCAAAAATACTTCTCTGGTCTCAGTCCCACCAAACTAACGAGAAAAGCATTCTCATATCTGAAATAAAATATTTATGTTATTTTACACTGTTTCAGATCAGCTGTGTTGTGGTTGTTGTTGTTTTTTTAGAATTTTTAAGTACAAATCAAGTGTTACATTTTGCAGAAAAAGAAGCTATAAAACTTTTCTAAAGTTAGTCACACTCAAAATCTTGAGTCATACGATGAGATAATTATTGATTAATACCTATCAGCCACATCCAGGAGGTTAGCTCCAGCACCTGAGCAATCTTGCTTTGCCTCTTCAAAGGTTTTGGCTTCAGTGCCAATGTTATAGCAATATGAGCCAAATCTGACAGAACCCTGAAAAACAAACAGGCCGATGTGCTAAAGCTGATGCTGTGTTTTGTTATCCAGCGTTAACAGGAAAGCACTAAACTCACTAGCTTGCATCCTGGGTTGACGACCTCTTGGGTTCCATCTGATGGTTTTGTAGAGCCTTTCTTCTTACAGATATACCCGTATGTCCTTTCACAGCTGTGATCTGCCCACTTTCCATCCTGCAGGAGAGAGATGCAGAGTTTTAGTAACCAAAAATAAGTTGTACTCTTCAACTAGATTGCTAATAGTTACCTTTCCCCGAATGAGGACACAGTCCTCTTGGTGGTTGTTAGCATGGGAAGGCTCAGCACTCTGCCACTGGGTAAACGTGACAGGAGAGTGATCGGACCATTCAAACAGCATTTGGTTCCTCTGGTCATTCAGGCCAATCCAGAGCACATCTGAATGTGCTGTGGTGTGAAATATGCAGATAAAAATGAAAAAGAGTTGTGGATATAGTTAGATAATTTGGCTCTRATCATAGCCAGTTAGAGACAAAACCTTGCAGGTTCTGTTCAGCATTTATAAACACGATGCTAATTCTAAGTGTTTCAGGTAGAGTTTAGACTATTTCCTTTAGAGCAGGTGGTGTTCGATCCTGGTCTTCAGGGGCTGCTATCCTGCATGTTTTACCAGTTTCATTTCTACAACACCTAATTCAATGTGCCTGTCTTCTTGAATGGGTGTTCTTAAATGTAATTTCATTGTGCTCTGTACAATGATAATAAAGGCATCATCAATCARTCARTCAATGGTTCAATTACTACTTCATGTTTTACAGAAGCCTGTTAATCACCTGTTGATTCAAATTAGGTGTGTTGAAGCAAACATCTAAAACATCCWGAATAGTGGCATTTGTGGACAAGGAAAAGACAGCCCTGTTATAGAGTAACTTTCTTTGACATAATTTTGAGAAAAAGATTCATAATACACATATTGACCTGTTTAAAGAGGTATAAAAAAGAAGATTCTSTAGAAGTAAAATAGTTGATTGCAATTGTAGGGTTCCTGTCCTTTTTTTTTTTTTTGCTTAGCCAAGATACTGTCTTTCGTTGTTCAAATTTAAAATAATTATAATAATCAACAGTGGCATGTTTTTTGTGTAAATATGTGAACTTACTGTATCCAGACTGAGAAATGATGAAGCTTTGCTCCTCTATATTGTGTATGCTGGCCAAATCTGCTCCCTCCTTGCGGCACTCAGCCAAAGCATCCTTCCACATCATTTTACTCCTCTGCAGGTAGTAACAGTTTCCTCCATAAGGAACCCAATGACTGGGGCAAAAGCTGGGCCCTTTACCTGTAGATAAAAACAAAAGGAAATAAACTCTGCAGCTAAAGGCTTGAATTATATATAGTAAAACTTTAAAATTAAACCAGTTTTTTCTTTAGATAAATAGCTGTTTACTTGGTGGTGGAGGCAAACTGGTTGAGTTTCCTTTACGACAAATGTAACCAAGTTTTTTGTTGCAAGTGTTGCTTTCCCATTTTGATGCTTTTGCAGAATTTAAGGCCACACACATGAGTCCAGGCTCTGATGACGGATGACCTGTTGGATTCATTTACGTTAAATCAGAAAACCATTACTTTCTTTTCTCCACTTGTAATTAAATGCATCATGAAATGATTTCAACACTAACCAGGAGCCCAGTTTAAATATCTGAATGGGTTCCCATTGCTCCACTGCCATCCGCTCTCAAAATCCAAACTGTTCAGCCCAATCCACAGAGCATTTCCCAAATGACTTATCAGCCCTGTGTCAACACATCAGGTAAAGGTCACATAGTGTTCAGAAGCACCATAAATACCAATATTTGGTGCAGGCAGGTTAGTTTTGTACCTGAAATGTAGGATTGTTCATGTAGCTCTACGATGCTGAGGAGGTCAGCTCCCTGCTGCTGGCAACTCATCCTGGCCTGATGCCACGTCATTGCTGCCTGTGTGTTCCTTTGATACTGCACCCCTGTGACTGGGTCAGTGTCCCAACCAAATGTTGCTAGATTAAACAAAATACACAAGTGTGCAAGTTAAAAACACTGCGGAAAAAATGTGCATCTGATAAATGTATYATTGACCCTACTTGAGGGCATATAAGGACAAGAAGAAAGTATAGCCTTTCCAGGCAGATAAACTAATTTTACTTCTTTATCTATAGGAAGGTCTATTCCACAGAAAACTTTSGCTAAATGAACTTTCTTACTTTTTCCATTACTCTGAGTAAAGAGCAGCATAAGAAGGAAAGGTCTTATGAGAAAAGGGGAAGGGACAAAGAAAGAAGGGGTAATAAAGCAGACCTGTTAGCCTCTACTTTAAAACTAAAAAACAGAATTGAAGAACTTGTGTGGCTGACTTGTTTAAACAGTCAAAAATGTGCAAAAAATTGCAGCTCTGCATGAATGTTAATAGTTGTAGTTATAAGATGGTGTGTAGCTGGCCTGCATGAGGTTAAACAAGTGGATTCCTCACACATACCTCCTGTTGTACAAAACCCAAACTTCTTGTCTTTGTCATAATCTCTCGTTGTCGCACACCACAGCCGTCCATCTGTGCGACCTTCCTTTGTGCATTCAGCAAACCATTTGTTGTGGAACTTAAATGGAAACTGACAAGGTGCTCCGAACGCATTGCCACCTAGTGTGAAAATCTCTGAGGAGACAGAGGTGATATTTTTGTAAATGTTAGTATTTATTGTTCTGTTATAGGTTATCTCATAGCGTTTGTTCCTAACGTCATTTCTAACTGGGCAAGAAATGATCACCAACAAAGAGTTTAGGTGATGTAAGATGAGGGTTTCATTCTGTGCCTCCATAGGGATTTTTCAGTACAAAAAGAATACACCGTGTATACACACACAGCTGTAAGGTTTAAACCCAACAACAGCTAACCAAAAACACAGGAAGTACATTTGCCTATAAACTGTTAAAGTATCTTGTTTATCGTGTATTATAAAGTTATTTCTTTATTAGGAAATTAAAGAGACTTAAAGTCCAATAGTTTAGATTGGAAGTTAGTGAATCCTTTTGTACCTGACATCTGTGAACATTGAACCATTCAATACAGTACCGTCATTTTGTGTTCTGATGTTTTGATCTGCTGTCTTACTATTTAATGGGATATGAAGACCAAACRTTTCAMTKCCTATAGTTYTTGYAGAGTTTTGTTTCATTTTAYATTTCACTTCCCTGTGTTCACATTTAATGGACTGAAGGTGTAGAGACCACGTTTACTTTTGAAACGTTTTGATCTCTTGTGCCTGGGTTCCTTCACCTTGACCTTTATGACACTATTAACTTGTCCATGCACTTCTAAAAAATATTGAAAACACTATTATTTATGCTACATCTTCAGCCTGGAACCAGTCATAATCTTAGAGAATTATTTAAAGAAATGTGATAAAGATGTATATTCATTCCACAACATAAACATACAAAATAGAGATGGACACAAAGTTACAACACACCAGTGACCATTCCCCCCAAAATCCTTGTACATTTGTAAACAACTGAGCAAAATGCCATATAAAGTGCACAGTAGTTCATTGATGATGCACTTATCTTGTTTGGGCAGAAATACAGAGTGACAATAACTGAACAAATGAGTTTATTTTGAGAAATTCTAGATCACCTATTGAAGGATGAAGTTGCTACTKTCTATTTGTTGACCTGAGGGCTGAATGCCTCTCAAATTTTTTAATCTAACTTTTTACAATCCTGCTATTGTCTGACAGCAAATACAAATTTTTTTTATTTAATTCTAAGTATTGTGTAAGTTATATGGAGAATGAATTAGTAATTTATACTAACTTGTACTAATAATTTATATTAATTTGTGCTAAATATTCTTTATTCTGTATTCTACATATATTTAGTAATTAAAACACAACAGATTCTTATCTTAAAGCAATATTAACATTTGAACATTTCCAAATACTGTATCTCCTTTAAAACTTCCAATTTTGTCACCACTGCAGATAATATTGATTTGTTGTTAGCAGACTCAAAATTCCTACCTTGATATCCCTTCGAACAAAGGTCCCCCTGAGTGCCATATATTTTCCAGCGACTCCATACACCTGAGCCTTTGTAGATCATTACATTCCTCTCCTTGAAGTTGCCCCAGTTTAGGTGCAGGTCTTGGTCTTTAAGGCCAAAGAGGGTCTCATTCTTGCATTGCCAGTGCTGAAGAATACTGCTCTCATTGCATTCGAAGAGGAGCACCTTCACCCAGTCTTTTATCTCCGTGGCGCCCAGACACAACTTGAGGGACAAACTAAGGAGGCGAGATTCAGAGGCCCATCGAAACTGCTGCTCCTTGGCATGGGGAGCACATCGAGCCAGGGTTATTGAAGTGGCGCTTTCTACCTGTATGCACTTGCTGTGGTCCTGGTTGAAAATAAGGAAAATGCCACTGTCTGGRGAAGGAAAGAAGAAAAAAATCAATAATAGTCCTATTAAAGCCCACCACARAAATTTGAAATGAACCTGGAACTTACCTATATCAGCGGTGATGCAGAGGACTTGCAGGAGACAAAGACCCACTGCAAGCTTTGACCAGGGTAACATCCTTAGGATGCTGCTTGGGTTCAGTGGTGGGTACAGCTGTCACAGGTTTCCAGTCATGAGAGTAGAGATCTGGTGTGTGCAAAGGTGCTTGACAGGAAGCAGCACTGACAGAGCCATAGTTTTTCACTCCTCTTAATCACGGTGTTGAATATCCTGTCACATGGGTAGTTAAGGCTGGTCAAATATCTGGGACTTTCAAGAACTTCCACTACTTTCAATGAAGAGGAAAAGTAGAATTTTACTACCGTACAAGAAAATAAGTCAGATTACAGTATTTGGTAGGAAAATGATCCCAGAGTGAAAAAAAAAACACTAGTTTATTAAAGTGATCATTTTAGGGTGGAAAAAATCATAGTCACCCACTGGTGTGAGCTAAATACAGGGAGGAGATGTATTTTTATCAAGAAAGATTTTTATTTCATGAATTTTAGAAAAAATGTGAAGGAAAAAGTCAGAAGAGATTTACTAAATTTTGCTGACCGAACTGGTTTTTGACAAGACCCACTCTCAAAAGTTTAATAGGCTACAGGCTGAGTTACAGAAAAGATTCAAGTCAGTAGACAGAGAGCAAGAGGAAATCCTGCTTCCTGCTAGAGGAAGTGAGAGAAGACCTGACCACCAAGACCTAATAACTCCAAAAAAGGCTGGAGCGAGGATTTATTACTGAAAAAGCTGACTATATTAGAAAACTTGTGCCCTGCTTAAAATTCCAATAMATTTCTTGCTATGTGGGTTTAGAAGAAAAACAGAAGAAGTTTCATATGTCTTTTGATGTATCTGTTTATTTTGTCCAGATGAGTGCTATTTTGATGCCCGTCGCATTATAATATTTTAGATGACTTATGCCAATAAATGAAAATTTTGTCCCACAAACTCTGAATCCATATTTTAGTCACACAGGAAAAAAAACTAAAACCTTACTTTTTGCTGTGTATGTATACTGCAATAATAAAGAACCCATCTGATATTCTAAGGAATGAAAAGGGGTGAGAAAACAGTCGGTGCAGATTAGGTGGATACCAATGTATGTGGTGCATTTCCATCTCTTAGCRCATCATTTTTAGCTTTTATTATCTGGTTCCTGTATTGGTTCTCCTCTATAAGAGGAAGTCTGTATTTTTCCACTAATAGTTTGAGGTTCATCTTGATTTCCAGCAAAAAATTTCAGTCTAATTTTAGCATACAAAAACGTCTACAAAGACCTTGTATGTTCATTCACAGTGAAAGTAAGTGTTTTATCTTTGTGCATCACCATGTTTGAAGTCTCTAAAGATCAATCTGTTAAAACTAAATGCTCAGTGTCACCATCTGCAAATTATTTTAGTCACATATACAGACCCACAGACATATTTAATGCTTTAGATAAATATAAAAAACTGACCACCAAGTGTTGCTTTGAAGTAAATCTGATAACTCCCATGAATTATATAAATATGAGCATGTATGGCATTATTTTCCATTGGTTTTGCACATAAAGCCATATGTAAATCATCAAGTGTTGTTTTGATGAGAAGAAAAGATGATAAAGCTGCAAACACACTAGTAGCATCAATCTGAGAATGAGCTTGTACTGACCACGCAACAAAACAATCCAACATTTGAGATGTGGTCTTTAAAATACTCTTAGTAAATAAAATACAGTATGTCCTGGAAAATAATTATACCTCTCTGCTGAGTATTAAGTTCAAACTGTCTTGACATTTCAATTTGCATCTTTTTGATAACTGCTACCATTTGTCATTATACTGTATGTCCTCAAGATCCTAAAACGCCACTGCCGTCTGACATTTTTTTTGTTTGGATCATAATTTTACATAAAAACAATTATATTTAAATTAACCTGATTGTGCTAAATTTGACCATTTTGTGTTCAGGTGCAGCGACGTGTGTGTGTGTGTGTGTGTGTGTGTGTGTGTGT